TATTCGACTACTCGAATATTCGAATAGTCGAATATTTCGATTAAATTATTCGAACACGAATATTCGGTTCCAACTGTAGTAACGAAGTGGCTCAAAACTTCCCGTTTCGATGCGACCATATTAGTATTGTGGAATATACAAGCTGTTTCTCTCGACACACGCTTGCACAAATCATATAATTAGACAATGTTCACAAAAAGCTACTGCTTTTCGCTCCAAATAGGTTCCATGATACTGTACGTCAGTGTGTTTTCAATATCGAAAAAATTTAGGTTTTCCATTCTAAAAGTATTTCTCATTCACTAGAAGAAAAATTCAGAGAGCTGGCTTTACCAAAATTACTTTTTCTACACTATTTTTTATGAAAGTAAGTAAGCTTGCCTGTGGTATTTGTTGCCATATCATATGCGAAAACGTCAACTGAAGTCAGATGAAGAATGCAAGGTTGGAATGAAGCAGCTGAAAGTTCAATTTGACAGCTAGCTGCGTAATTTTTCGCATAAAGTTAAGGCTTGAGTTCAAACCTTTCTCGAAAAGCTTATTGAGCTTTTCCTCCGACTGCGATGTCACCTCGCTCCAGATGTCATAACAACTCGTTTCGATAAGATTTCGATGCGTCTCGATAGCCAAGTGTGTAGCTACCAGACGTTTGCCGCTACCAGCAGCGCCATAAAGAAGCAGGACCAAGGGGTTTTCTTCAACCTTCAAATTTACCATAGCAACTTGGCCCAACACGGCTAGCAGTCACCTCATCATGAGCCAAAACTATATTGCGCATCCTTTCTACAGTAGCGCTCATCTTCTCAGGAATAGCGAACATTTGAGGCTGCGCAGCATATGGTAGATTTGAAGAAACGGAGGAGATCTGGTAGAAAGATGCCGTGGTGTCCAGTATACATGGTGATTCGTCGCAATCAATCTGAAATGAACAAAACTTGTAAAGAAGGCTCGCAAAACGCATAAGCAAAAAAGCCCAAAGCTTGGAACAAGGAAGGGTGACTGTTTTTTTCTTATTCGCGCATAATAGGAAAAAATTAAGGTTGGTTGCTCGGAAATGTTCAAAAATGTCTAATATAGCGCTGACAAATTTAAATTTTCGCAGAGCTTTCAGGAATCTCAAAAACAGTGTCAAGCAAGGCTGAGTTTGAAATCAGGTTTGGAGCCTTTAGCCATATCCCTGAGAGCTTGCAAAGAATCCAGTATGATATCCAATAATTTCTCGCCCAGTATCGTACTCAGAGACGCTCATATGCTCATGGAGCGTACGGTCTGGACCAGTGCTTAGAGTCCCATTTTTCGCATCAATGGCTTAGCCGAACGCTCAAAATCAGTATGCACATAGAAAGGTCCAAAAAGTCAGAAAACTATCTAGAACTGTCTTCAAATTACAATCTGCTGTCATTTTTTGTCAAACCTT